TTGCTGAAATTTATAAGTTCCTGTAATGCTGCAAAATGGTACGGATGAGCCTCCCTGGAATAGAAATCAACGGCTCCTCTTTAGGTGGCCTGCGAAAACTTAGCTGAGTACCATTCTGTGCCCCCACAGAGCCAAAGTGCGTGAGGACCAGCTGAAGGATTCGCTTCCAAGATGGCTAAGTCCCTGAACGCAGCCATTTGAGCACTTTCTCGTCCTTCACTACTTAGTCTCTCATACGAGTGCCAAGTCTTTTTCACCGTACGCTCAAACAGTGCTCGAAATCGTTTATCAAACAGAGGACTTCAAGGCGTCTTCCACCGTTTCCTTCGTCTTCTTCTACTAGCTAGTTACTGTTAGCACGTACGCATTAATGTTTGAACCTCTATTTCCACGTCTCTCTAACGCAGTGTTCCTCGAAATGCACTACTAATTGGAAAGAATCCCATTGCGTGGCTCATCTCCGTAAGGGATCGATAAAGGGGATGCGTTACCCTAAACTCAAGTAGTAAACGTCGTGAAGCTTTTGTTGATGAAATTGATGCGATTTTTGGTCACCTGCAGGAAATGAATAATTAACTTTTGGTGGACACGGTGTCCTTTTTTTGAATCCGGCAGTTTCAGACAGCCAATTGATGACAGTTATCATCAAACACGGATAGCAGCCATTTCATCATTAACTACTGATTCGTCCCGATCATATGTACTTACATATTTCTATGATTAACAAACTTTTAAAAGCCGACTAGAAATCTGCTTTACAAGGGGTGATCTGGTAAAAAGAGACCAGTAAGAAGTACGCTACGCTCTGTCTGTGGCGGTGAAACGACGATGACGTTCTAATGAAACCATAAAGTGGCTATAAATATATTAATAACGTTCTTATCATTGGAATGTTGTCCAAAAGCAGTCTTCCAGTCCTTTTTCGCTCTTCATTTGATGAAGTGATAAATAACCTATTTTCTGGGGTATAGGGCACATTTATTAGACGTCCGCAGACGTTTATCAGCGTGCGACAGACACGCGTGAAAACTAGTCGGACACAGTAATTTTTTGTCCTTTTCGCATAGTTTAGTCTTCAAACTATTATTCAAATACATCTTATCGAATACATGGGTCATTATCAGAAAACTCAGAACATCAGGGCAGGCTTCTAATGCCGGCAGGGACGGCAGTAGGCTCCTGTCAAGACATGGGCGTCAAGGGCCGCAACATCATGCGTCGGCGTGTGCCCAATGGCACGTACATCGAGTGCGTCTAAAGCTGCTGTCAATTACACGAAATGAGCAGGACTCGTGCAAGGCAGAGGGACGCAAATGCGCAGCATCAAGTACTTGATCGCCCATCGTGTACCTCCAGCGCGCGGACTACTGACGCCGGGGCATGGAGTGTATACTAGGTGCCAAATGGGCTAACGGACCAATACAAAGCATCTCAAGGCAAAGATCAAAAATGGCGTGAAGCTGAGACAATGGGCAACAGTCTATTGAAGCGCAAAATTTCCGCCTCTCGCTCATCGCGGGATACACGCACACTTATCCAGAGAAAGTAAGGCTACGAGTACTTTTAATGGCAAAGCCAAGCTTTGCTGTCGATCGCAAAGTCGAAGTACAAGATAGCGTATCGCAGCGACACCCTGGAAGAAAACACACTAAGAAACACTCAAGCTTCAGAGGATCGTGATATGAGCAGTGATGCTATCAGCAAGTCGACGCTGAGTACTCGTGGCGGATGGGATGCGCCACGCTAGCCATGTCCTTTTTTACCGCTGCTGGGATCCCCCTTTTGACCTTAACAATGTTTTAATCACCGGGAATTAGCGCATTTTACTTTGCAACGCGTAGTATTGATCGAACATTCTCATAGGAAATGAAAAGAGTTGCTGGTGTAGGACGGTTGGAATCTTCTATGTGCCCTTCGGCGCTCTCCTCCGCTTCGCCCACTGGATTGGCTTTTCGTGCTAGTTGGAAGCCTAGGCCTTTGACAGTGCCCCTTCCCCTAAAGTGACGTTGGCGCGTAAGTTTTAATGCAGGGCTAAAGGATTCTGGGTAATATATATGTTGTTGTCAAGATTAAAGCAGCAGTGGGGCGATAGTACAACTCCGAAGTGCTTCTAGGAGGACCACAGACTCCCAGTAATTTGAGGAAGCATGTCCATTAATCTGCTTGAATCTGATATTACAGGAAATTATCGCTGGGATGATGGATCTACCGGCAGATAAATGGCGGAAGAAGAAACCGCAAAGCTTCAAAGAAGTGAAAGATAAGTGCGATGCTCTGAAAGCTGCTTGGGAGCCTTACGATTGGACAAAGAGGATCGATAGGAGTGATCGCTGAATTTCATTCTGGGTTGTCGAAATTTTACCTTCATCGCATCCCTGCTCAGTAACTGACCGCTATGTTGGTTGTCGGATTAGATTCGATTTCGACGACTTTTCCCCAAGGTATTGTATAGCTCTACCTCTGCTCACACTTGTGATGCACCATAATCTGAACATTTTGCCAGAACTGCTTTGATTCCAGATTGTATACATTGAAGCTGTATAAAGCTATATGAATCAAAATATCCTGACATAATCTTGTAGACTTGCCCCTTTGCCCTGCGGTGCCTTCTTAACGAAAAACCGAGAACGACAAAAAAAATCTTCACGCTTAGTTTAGCTTGTTGGGGAGAGAAGGGGG